ACAGAATGGGAGAAATTTGCAAACAACATATTTGATAAGGGGTTCATATCCAAAATATATAAGCAACTCATGCAATAGCAAAAAAACCAAACAATCAAATTAAAAATGGGCAAAGGATCCGAGTAGACATTTTTTCCAAAGAAGATATTCAAATGGTCAACAGGTATAAGAAAAGGTGCTCAACATCACTAATCATCAGAGAAATACAAATTAAAACCGAAATGAGATACCACCTCACACTTGTTAGAATGGCTATTATCAAAAAGTTAAGCAATAATAAGTACTGGTGAGGATATAGAGACATGGGAACCCTTGTGCACTTTTGATGGGATTGTAAACTGGTGCAGCCACTATGTAGAACATTATGGAGGTTCCTCAAAAACTTAAAAATAAAACTACCATATGATCCAGCAATCCCACTTCTGGGTATATATCTGAAGGAAATGAAATCAATATCTCAAAGAGATATGTGCATTCCCATGTTCATTGCAGCACTATTTACAACAGCCAAGATATGAAAAAAACCCAAGTGTCCACTGATGGATGAATGGAAAAAAATTGTGATATATATATATATATATATATATATATATATATATACACAATGGAATATTATTCAGCCACAAAAAGAATGAAATCCTCCCATTTGTGATGACATGGATGAACCTTGAGGGCATTATGATACGTGAAGTAAGTCAGATGGAGAAAGACAAATACTATATGATCTCATTTACATGTGGAATCTAAAAAAGTACAAACTCATATAAACAGAGAACAGGGGCAGGTTATAGGGAGTGGAGGAAATGGGTTAGGGTGGTCAATGGTACAAACTTCAAGTTATAAGATGAATAAGTTCCGGGGATATAATGTACAGCATGGTGACTATAGTTAATAATACTATATTGTATATTTAAAAGTTACTAAAAGAATAGATTTTAAAAGTTCTCATCATAGAAAAAGGTTTATAACTATGTGAGGTGATGGATGTGTTAAGTAACCTTATCATGTTAATCATTTTGCACTAAATACCCATATCAAAGCATTACATTTCACACCTTAAACTTACACAATCTTTTATGTCAAGTGTATCTCAATAAAGATGGGGGTAAAAGAAAGTAAAATAGTTATTATTTACATGAAATGTTCCTTTCTACTTAATTAAATATATATATATTTTTCAGTTTCCTTACACAGGCCTCTTGAGAATTGCTCCTAACAGAGAGATAGAACTAACTACATTATCAGCAGATGTCACTCTCCTCAACTGTCCTTCTCTGTCAGTTTCAGTTGGTTATTTTCTTTTTCCTGCAAATTTCAACTGCCTCTTCTCCATTACCAATTTCAGTTTCCATTTTCAACATCTGATGAGCCTCCAAGAGCCACTAGGACTAGTAGTATTTTTCACTTTGCCTGTATAAGGATCATAATACAAGATATGCTTTCCTTTTGAATGCTGGCCCCAGTGCGGATATCTGTATAGTTTACAAAAGCCACATGGAACATTTTTCTACTCTGTGGCTATGTCTTTGCAACAGTGATATACTTCTTATTATCAATTTTTTTTTTGTCTGATGAAAGGCACAGTTTAGTTCATGGGATAAGCACTGTTTAAAATTTGCTACTCTTTTCAACAACATTGAGCAAATATTGTCTACCAGGTACCAAGCACTATTGTGGAGATTCAGCAGTAATAAAACAGATAAAAAGTCTTGCCTTCATGGCTCTTACATTCTACATGGACAGAACAAAAAATAATTACAATATACAATAGGTGGGTGGTGATGGGTGCTCTGGGGAAAAAAAGTAAGAGAGTAGGGAACATCTAGGGGGTGCTTGCAATTTTAAAAAAGAGTTTCCAGAAAAGCTTTCATTGAGAAGGTGATGACATCTGAGTGAAGACCTGGAGGAAATGAGTGAGCAAGCCATGTGGGTAACTGGGGTAGGAACTGCTCAGGCAGAGGGAACACCTAGTGCAAAGGTGCACGTAGCCTGTCACAAGCAGTAAGGAGTTTTACTGCAAGCATCTGCCAGGGACAAAAATTCAGGCAAGGCTCTTTTTGTTGCTGCTATAAAGAATCCACCTACAAGAGAGTTTAATCAGCTTAAGATGAACATCAGTGCAGATCTGTTTAGTGTTCTCTCTCAGCCGTGACCTCATTTCTGATACTGACAGCCTGGACTGCCTCTTAGATGTGGTTGGGGCTTGGATGCATAGCCTGGCAAACCTGGATGAAACTAGAAGAGGGAGGTTTTGGTAGCTCTGTAGGCCCGTTAGTTATCTCATTCTCTCTTCAGATGGGGCTACATATTAATCAGATGTAGCCAATGATTCCAAGTTTTAATGTAACCTAAAGTATAGTCCATTTAGTCCATTACCATATATGAACCAAGAAGTAAGTGTAATAGTTCTACTTCAGATTAGCTAATGGTGGAATCTTGTTCCACAAACAGCCAAGACATGGGTTACTGAGAACAAAGGTATTTCCCATGCCACCAAATTGCGCTTTCAATGTTGTCTTCTTCTAGGTAGGTCAACATAGTAAAGAGGTCATTACCAACATTAACATATATAGAATTTCCAGGGATTGTTACACTTATATTCAACAAATAGAGATAATCTGCATGGGGCCTAACCATCCCATAGCTAGCACAGTTGGGTAACAATGCTCTTCTCACCCAGCAATCCACACTTCCTTCTAAGGGGTTCCCAATTTACTGAGGAGTATGTTTTCCTAAAGCTTCTTTTCATACCCTTGGAGCCCACTCCCAAACTCACTAAGAATAAAATACTGTTAAGAACTCAACAAATGGACATTTGAAAGCCGATACTGGGTTTAGTTTATTTTAGCCCACCTTTGATTTGTTTGGAGACTGAATTCCTTACACATAAAGATCAGTATTTATTTCATGAGAACAGAGGTTTAAGAGGCAACCAAGATATATTTAGTAAAGAGAAGGTGATTGAACATCCAAATAGGTCATGGTGACTTACCAGCAACTGAAAATAGTATTTTAAGATCATACTAGTTCTCTGTGTGTGTCATTTAGATTTGTTTTGGTTGTCTGATTTAAGTTGGCATTGGCAGTTTTGAACAAACACAGAAAGACTTTAACATATGGCTAGGTAGGTTGTTTTAGATCCAAATCAGGTATTGATCATTAGGACTGTGGCTTGGTATAAATTTAGAATTACTGTAATCTAAAGTGTTGGGGTCATTACATACTTATATTTAGGAGTGGCCAGAGATAACATTTCTATTATGAAACCATGCTGTAATCAAATTGACAACTTGGAAATTTACCAGCATTTTTAAAAACTTCACATATTTTTTTTTTTTTATTATTATTATTATTTTTTTTCCTTGCGTTATGCGGGCCTCTCACTGTTGTGGCCTCTCCCATTTGCGGAGCACAGGCTCCGGACGCGCAGGCTCAGTGGCCATGGCTCACGGGCCCAGCCGCTCCGCGGCATGTGGGATCTTCCCGAAACGGGGCACGAACCCGCATCTCCTGCATCGGCAGGCGGACTCTCAAGCACTGCGCCACCAGGGAAGCCCTAAAACTTCACATATTTTAATCCATCAATTTTTGTTCTTGATATTCTGAAAAAGTCATCAGAAAGAAGCCATTTATCATTCTTTTTCCCCATGAAGGAAGGCAATTTCCTAATGAATGAGGAAATCTTTCATTTTAGATGGAAAAAATAATACAATAGGTCAATTATACTAAATTTAAAAGAGTAAGGTTTTTACTACATTTATATTTAATATTTGTTATTCTGGAAAGCAAATACATGTGAACACAATGGGGATAATAGTAGTATCTACCTTGTGGATTATAGGATTGAAGGAATTAACACATAAAACATTCTTAGAACAGTGGCTGACACATGAAATGCTCAGGAAATGCTAGCTGTTATTCTACTATGTGATAAAGTGAGGAACTGTCACTAGTCTTCATGGGTGCAATTCTTGCATTTTACAGAAAAAGTGGGTTTCATCCACTTTTTACAGAACCTAGTATGCTTTCTGTTCTGAGGGCACAATGAAGCTGAGAGGGATGGCTCCTCTAAGTGAAACTGACCCCTGCATTTAGTGCCTGAAATCAGAGGAAGCCTGTCAGTGTGGGCAGACACCAAGAGTAGACCAATCTGATATCCCACTTCTTTTTTATCTCATGGAAACAAATGGAGGGTAACTGATGTGGACCCTTCAATCAATTGTTCCTGCTTAACGTTTAAAACCTTGGCTTACTGTGGGGTAAACTTAGGTTCCTGACATTCATCCAAAATCTTAGTTTCTCTTCAGTTCCAGTGCAGAATAAAAACTAAATTTACCCCAGTGGATTGTTACATCAAGTCTGGTACTATTTCTCCCAAGAGGCCATCTGCTTCTGGGAAAAGACAACAGGGTGTGCCCTCCGTTACACCTCCATTTAACTGATGGTGTAATGATGTATAATTCCTTGTTGACCCCTGCAATTCAGAGTTACTGTCTTGGAACATAAAATTTGATTATCTCTTTTCACTCCATAGGATAACTGTAAAAGTATCCACCCAGTGTTCAATCCAACCCCCAGACATTGCTTCTGATGGCCTTAAATTCTTTTGATTAGTCTACTCGCCACAAAAACTCAGATTACTAAAATTAGTGGGGAAGGGATGGATTCTTCTAAAAACATCCCACTACCAGAACAGGTGTACTTGTAAAGTTTGCCTGACGCATCCTCTGTCTCAAGTTGTACAAACGGCCCTGGAGGGTGGAGCCCTCACAACCTGCTTCCCTGGCCGTGCGCGTCTGTGGGTGTCGGGGCACGCGCAGGACACACATGGACCCACTCTCCCAGGGCAGCCCAATCAAAGTCCCCCTCTCACCTCAAAGGCTGTCAACTCTCACGCCCCTCCTTGAGCGCACAGCCCCTTTCTCCCTCTTCGCTCCTTCATATCCCGCCTCCAAAGTAGGATGACTACTCTCATTGGCAGGTGCTCCTCTCACTCCTAGCCTGAAACCAATCACTCGCGTCCTGGTGGAGAACGACGGAGCCAATGGGAATGCTCGTTGCGGCAGCTGCCGGCCCGGAGCGCCGGGAGGCGGTGCAGGGGGCGGGGTACGGGTTGAGGGGTTAGGTGCCTTATGGAGTGAGGAGCGGGCAGAAGAGGCGGCGGCGACGGCGTTTGCGGTGGCGCAGCTCCGCGTTCATCCAGGCACTTCGAGGCCCTTTCCCCTTACCAGGTCCCCAGAAGCAGGGATCCCGGCCCTTCCTGCAGTTGCCGGGCTCTTCTGCGCGTGTAGCCCCGCGGATCTGCGTGATCCCGGCGGCTGCCCCTTTCCCCTGTCAGCGCGATGCCCGGGGCGGCGGCGGCGGCGGCTCCGGGCTCCTCGCGGCCCCGGCCGTGACCGCCACACCGAGCCCGGTCGGGCGGTTGGGGCCGTGGGACGTTTGTTTTCGCAGCCTTCCCCTCCCCCGCTCGCTGAGGCGGCGGGGGTGCGCGTTGCGAAGGGGGAGCCGAGAGACTCCTCCCCCTCCACCATACCCCCGCC